ATATTTACAAAATGCTGCGTGGTGAAGTGGATACTGAACTGGCCCTGGCAGCAATACCAAGTGGCATTGTACAAGCTGATGTTCTGTGTAGGTGCTTCTGAAGTTCATATATGTGTTAAAAAGTTTCCTAAACACGTCAACTGCAAAACACTGTACTTGCCAGAGGTCAGCTGATCCCCTGCCAGTTAACCACCTCTACTCTGCCAGCTTCTTTAATAGTCACGAAATGGCTCACAGTGTTCAGACAAAACTTTGGTGGAAATCTGTTTTAACAGGGAAAATAAAATACAGGATACATACTTTTTTTTTTTTTTTCAATTGAGTTGATTCCCGGTGCACTGAGTCCCTATGGAACAGTAGTGTCACGTCCATGTGTGTTCCAGTGTGAGAGTCCAAAGATTAACTCTTTCACAGGACAGGTACTGGTAAGCAGAAAAAGCCAGAGACTGAGAAATAGTTGTGACCCAAAAGCCTCCAAAAAACAATCCAGACAAGCTTTTGGTGGTTCTTGCAAGCATCAGTTTACGAGATTTTAGCACTTAAAATCTTTAGATGTGAATCTGTTTTGCCTATAAACCTGGCTTAGCACCACCTGGAGTTTCCTGAGCTGGCTGGCGCGTACCGGCCCATAGATCTGCCTTCTCTGTCTGATACTTCTGCTAATGAGGGTTCAGAAGTTAATTTCTGCTCTAATTCATCAGGCTCTTCAACAGCAATAAATAAGAAAGTTTGCCTAGGGAAACCTTAATATAGTTGTGGGCTTACAGTGCGGCCACACATAAATGATACAAGTTTAGATAGTTTGGGTTTTTGTGTGTGTTCTATTTTGTTTTTATCAGTATGCTTATAACTGACCAACGTGCTGTTTTATTATCTAAACTAGGTCAGTGCGTTATTTTAGCTACAGAGTTGTAATATGCGGCATCACTGTAAATAGTCTAGGTATTTGGCAATATAAAGTTTCATTACAGATTTGCTTTTCTCTCAAGATAAAGAGTTTCAAGTAAAATAGAGGTGATTAATGAAATTTTCTTTACATCTGAATAATTAAGTCTGCATAGCTTACAAGACCTGTATGTTACTTATGATCTATTTGTCATACAGTGTTTTCTGCAAAACTTTTAGCAAGCGTTATAAAATGACAGCAATGCGGTAATAAATGCTGGAATAAAATGGCATTTGGACCCGAAAGTCAATAGGAACATGATTTCGGAGTATCAGAGCATACATTCAAAGCAGAAAGCTATCCTTTAATCTCTCAGCAGAGCTTATTTTAGCCTCGAGCTGTGCTTGGCGGGGTTGTTGTCTGAATGTGTTTTGTTGTTAGGTAGGAAAGGGGCATGCTGGATGACTGTAGAAGTCAGCAAGTGACTCAGCCTGGCTCCAGTGATTTGCATGCAGCTTTTTTTGTTTGAAGCACATACGTGAAAATGGAGCAGAGAATGCCCCCCGCTGCAGAAGTATGATTTGTGGCAAAGGCTTTTGGAACAAGTAAAGCTCTAAATACAACTGTTTTTCCTTGAGGACTTTATACTTTTTGTCCTAATTTGACCTTTACGGGGATTGGTGACAGCTGCTCTTGACACACAGTGTCCTGACAAATGGGAGGTGGTGTTTTGACTGGTCTCACTGCCGCGAACCTAGATGCCAGTCAAGACATGCCATATAGAACAATTTACATAAGAAGCAGCACAGTTTTGTCTTGCGTTTACCATGTGGACTAGGAGCTCTGGGTTTGCTGCACTGTATCATGCACTCGTTATTCTACACTTGTGTTTCATAACAGAAATTTAGACTAGAGATGCTGCTCTTTCGAAATGAGCATGCCTAGCGCTGACTCCCCTGGCCCACGCTGTGTGATGTTTCTGGGGCATTTGTAACGGCCTTTGCGGCTGCTTCCTGGGATGCAGGAGGTAGTTGTTGCCCATGTTGGGTTATCTCGTCTAACACAGCAGTCCCCTTAATCTGGTCCTCACAGCAAAATGGGGCATAAGGAGCCATCCTTTGGGTAACTTGCACGTCAAAAATGTTTGCATCAGGAATTGTCTCCCCGTGTATTTACATTCAGCATGTAGCAAAAGGAGACTTTGACAGTTGGATTCGTGATGCTGGCATTAGAAAAGTAGATACCTTCTAAGAAATTCCAAGTAGTCTCATTTAATTGTTTTCTATAAGAGTCATAGTAGGATTGTTACTAGTTTGATCTGTAAATAGTCCAGTCAAAGACTCTTAACGTGTTTAAAAATAAAATGTGTTGTCCCGGTCTACCCTTTAGGAATTAGAACTGGTGGAGGATGTCTGGAGAGGGGAAGCACAGGACCTTCTTACCCAAATTGCACAGCTGCAGGAGGAGAATAAACAACTGATGACAAACTTGTCTCACAAAGACATTAATTTCACAGAAGAGGAATTTCAGAAGCATGAAGGCAAGTTTGATACTTCAAATTCAGTACTTGCTTTTGTTATAAAAAGCAATACTTCATCAAAATACTTTGACTGGATATTCTGGCTTTTTTTCCTATAGATTAATGCAGGTCTGGGGTTTGGTTTTTTTTACCTGACTAGAAAATCTCTGAATACGTGGTGATACTGAAGACATGATAACAGGTGCGGGTAGGAGGGAAAGAAAAGCTTGAACAGCTTTTCGTTTGGCTGAGAAGCATCTCTGAAAGTAAAGTCTAGCTTCCTTTTTTTTGGTATATCGCTTTTTGTTTTCTTTTTAGCTCGCATCTTGCAAAAAGCATTCTTAAGCCCTCCTTATCTTTTTTAATACAAATAGAATAATCCATTCAGCAATGTATGTTTCACACCATTATGCACAAAAATAAGTGCTACTGTTGATCTGTTCGGAATAACTGTTTGTAAAGCAGCAAATCAAAATTTCTTTGTCTGAATTATATCAGTCCACCATATGGAGATATTCTAGGAGAATATTGTGATACTCTCCTGGAATGGGTGAGACTGATTTTACGTGGTTTACCCGCCTTTAGGGTTCCCTCACTTGTTTGGCACTTATAGCCAGTTTAGAATAAGTGAAGAGATTTATAATCCAGGGAGTGGGTGAATCTTAAAGAGTTGAAACAACCAACTTGTGGGCAACTTCTTTCTTGAGGCAGCGTGAAGTTCAAGACATAAGATTCTGATTCGCAAGTACAGGTAGATTTCACTGCAGCAACTGAACCGATTGCCATCCTCAGCTCTCACCCACAGCTCAGCAAATAGCTCTTTCCCAAGAGCGGGGCAGATGAACAGATGTCTGTTTGCTCCACAGTTCATAGCACATCATTTGAGGCTGCTGGCTACTGAGTCCATTTCATGATACTTTGCTGGGGTTTGAGCTGGAAAAACATGACTGTGCAGCTTTGGGGATGAGGCAGCCTTGCCTGAGAGACGGGGCGGACAGCTGAGAATGGTAACAGCGTCACTCCAGCAGCAAAACATGCCTGTGATGGTGAGTCAGTCTGGAAGTGGGTGGCTTTCTGAACTATTTGTGCATGGACAGGACTCTGGTCCACTGCTTCAAGCCACAGCTCCACTTTCACGGTGGGTTCTGATTATCGGTAAAGTCATGGCTCCCTCAAAAGGCTAGCATCCTGCGTGTAGCCCGCAAAGTCACTGGCCAATCTGAAAAGCACACAGCTGAGCCATTGCAGCTCTCCGATACAGCAGTAGGAACAAAGGGATATCCTTTTCCAGGCGCTGGACGTTGGGATTAAACGGAGGCTTGCTGTAGGTGGATGAAACTCTGTCCAACACTGCAGAAGTTGCGCTTGCTTCCTCCCAGAGGCCGAGTACTGCTCACTTGCCCTGGGGAGGAGAATAATGAAATCTTCAAAAAGTAAAAATTGTTGAACCTCTCAAGATCACTACTTTTTTTAAAACAAATGCAACGCTTTCAATTTAGGAGTCAATTAATGGCAATGAAGTAGCTCAACATCAGCCTTACAAACTCCATGCGAAATTTCAGAATGGCAGTGATGACTCACGGACCATGAAGACTATGACATCTTGTTATAAAGAACCAACTTCCCCTTTGTTTTCTCTTTTTTTTTTTTTTTTTTTCCTTCTTCTTCCAGTGGGTATGTAGCTCACTGCAGCTCATGTGCTATTTAAATATAGCCATAGTCTTCACATTCAGCTGGCCAAGCAAATGCCAGGCATGCTTTTCATGTTATTTTTACTGTGTCTACCCAAGTATAATAACACAAACAAAACCCATAAACCCATTCCAGAGACCAGATTCTGGGATCACTGCTATCCTTTGTCCAAAATCATCAGCATAAGTCAAATCACATTAATTTATAGCAACCCCACCTTATTATTGGGACCTATTATATCAAACCCAACTGTTTTCCTTTTAGGAAATTTTGTCATTAACGCATGGGGATAGATTTGTCTCAACTGACTTGTTTGGACAGTGTCACAAAGCAGTCGTGCTGCTTTTTTTTGGTCTCCATCATTTGATCGGATACACATAGAGTCTACAGATGCAGGTTTTCAAGCTAAATACTTTGTTAGCTCGACTAACTTTGACCGGACTCCAGTCTTCCTATCTCAGCACGATTTAGTATTGTGATCATGTCTCCCCTTAGCGGCTAGCCTCTGGGATTAACAGCTTGCCGCTTACGCACCAGACAGTTAAAGGAGTTATTTTTAGCACAGGCAACAGAGACCAGTGATTCGGGTGTGTAAGACACTGAGATTCAATCCTTGCCAATTAATAGTCACATCGGAGTTCGCAGAGCCTCACTTTAGCATAATGAAGGTGTTTAAGAGAGGCAGATGCAATCCTATCTAAACAGGGGTGTTCTGCACAGAGGGCATCTGCAGAGAGTCTGAGCAGACCAGGGTTCATGTGAAAGGACACGTGGCAGAATACAAAATACACAGGAGGGGTTAAAGATGAGTCTGCAACATCCATTAATGCTGCTCCTCCCAGGCTCAAACTGAGCACGACTTGATGGTGCTGACTGATTGGAATATCCTAGCAAAATGCCACGAGCAAACTTGACCCAAGGTGTGTCAAACAGGACGAGCAGGCTGCTGTTTCACCGCGGCGAGGGGAGCTGCTGCCTCAGACGGGCTGTGCTAATATGGACAAGCAGCAGGATGTCAACAGTTGTGTGAACCTGCTGGAGCCTACAATGCCCTTTCAAAAGCAGAGGCAAACTTCTATGCTGCATAGTTAGGTAGTGGTATAGTGCCACAGGCCCTGACTGGCACTTTGGCCTGTTGTGATGGATGCTGTATAAACAACAGTAAACAGGTCCCTAAACATGAACATAAACAATGTTCTTTTCTTTCCCGTTTCTTTTCCTTTTTTTTTTTTTCCTTTTTTTTCAGCTGCTTTCCTTTCTCTTGCTCGAACAATGCTATGATCACAGCAATTCACAGGAAGCTGCTCATAGGATGTGCCTAGGGAAGCCAGCTGGGCGTGCCATTTAAGATCTTGCAGATATTAGACTTTGAATCATTTAGAGATAATTACTTTACATTTCGGGTACTTAGTGACTTGCCTCTCCTCTTCCCCAGTGCCTGAGGAAATGGAAGAAGATGTGACTGTTTCACAAACACTTCCCACCTTTCCTTTCCCCTCCTCTTGAAATAAAAAGGATAATGTAGTGATATGTGCACACAATTGAAGTCTTTTATGCTCACCAAACGTTAGGGAGAAAAAGGAGCACAGTGGGAGGAAAAGCAGTCAGCACTGAAATCGTACTTTATTCTTTAAATAGCACCTGCTATCTGGAGATCTCAAAGCATCTCACAAGTACTAATGAATATAGCTGCACTCACTATTCCTAGCTCCTGCTGGGGTGAAACCACCAGTCTAAAGTTTCACCGCAGTCCCTCTGTACTTCAAGGCAAAGTTTTGGATTTTTGTGTTTTTAAATACAGCTGATGTTTTAGGCCCCAGCCCTGAGACTGGCTGCAGAGGGTGGATCCAGGATCCTGTAGTGAGATTTGTGGATACAGTGGTGTATCAGACCTGTGTTGTGATAGGAGAGCGTGGATCTTTTAGAAGAGTTAAGCAGCAGTATGTGTCAGCGTCTACTTCTCCTCCCTGGCGGGTATGAGCTGTTATCACAGTGAAGAATTAAAATTATCCTGCAAAGAACTGGAACCTAGAGCAGAGAGATTATAAGGACCAGGGCCAGAAATAGAGCAGGCAAACTTACCACAGAATTAAAAAAGATGAGACTGTAATACTAGAATGTGAACAGTGTGTCACTCTCAGCTCTTCTCTGGGGTTTGACAGGAACACGGCCTCTGAACCAAATTCCGGGCCAGCCATGATCACCAGTCCTTTCCCCAGCAGAGGGGTTACCTGTTCTCTGCTGTACCATAGCTCTGGTCCTTTAGCAGTGAGGGATCGGAGCTGCTCTTCCCCCTGTTTGCAGGGGTACGCTTTTTACGCCTGCATGGGAACCCGCTGCTGCTGCAGGAGTGCGCATCCACCAAAGAGTTACTCCCTTTCTCTCAGATTTGTCTTGCTCTACTGTATTATCCATCAGTTCAAACTGTAGATGATCTGTAAGCTGGAGTTCCTAAAGGCATGCAGCCTACGTTCTCTCATGGGAGCAACTTGGGATTTCTCTGATGAGGGAAGAACATAACCAGAAAGTCTGAGCTGGTGTTAGAAAGTAGAAGCTTGACTGGCTGGGTACATTTGATGTCTACGCAGCATATTTCTGATGTGGGATGCGGGAACTGCTTTAATATATTAAAAAGGAAGTGGCTTTCCAGCCAGCCCAGAGGGGTGAGAGAATTATCACCACTCGCAGTCCGCAAATGGAGGAGGCTGAGTACCCACGTAACTAAGCACTTTACCAAAGGTAATAGAACAAGACAGCAGTAGACCCTGGATTTGAGCCCCTGCTTGGACTGGACTTTGGCCAGAGCAGCCACACACTGCCCCGGTCACAGGCTTTCATCTTCACGCCATCCTATGGGATGTTGTGCAATGTGATTTTATGTGATAGTTTAAGACCATCAAACTGCATGTCTCTGTGCAGTTCTCAGGTAAAATTAGTGTCGTAGATTTATCATCTCGCCGAGTTAAATCATCTGGTCTGTGTTTGCTCTGAAGAGCCCATCGCTGTAGTGCCCGTTCCCAATTAGCTCCGTAATGGCAAATAATGGAAGAATGCTTCCTGTTTTGTGATTTATGACATTTCCTAACAATTCCTCGGTCAGATTTCAGGTTCATCTCATCCTTTATTTATTTTCAGACAGGATCAATGTTGGATTCTTGGCAATGTTCCAAACATCTTTCACAAGTGAAATGCCATGTAGTGTTTTTCTCTGAAGTACCGCTATTCTAAATATGAATTATCACACAATAGGATGGGGAGGGGGTTGCAAAACATGAGGAGAAAATATGTGACCATAATTCAGACTAAATTTCTGTTCTAGATTCAGGGTGGGGGTACCCTCTGAAGGTCCCGCTTCATCTCCCTTTCACCCAACACAAAACTAGGTTTCAGCATAAAATCATTCTAGTCCAGTGCACCTCAGCTGCTTTGGATCTCGATGCGATCCACAACAGTCACGTGTTGCTTAGGTCTTGCTGAGGACCCAGACCACCTTTTTTACAATTTTCACAGGGTCTTGGCGAGCTGATTCTACAGATCATGACACAGATAACCAAGCTCCCTGGGGCATAGTGCAAACACTGATGTGAAACTACTTTTTTAAGGAGTTTCTGTGCAGTGGCTTTACAGAGCGGATTGTGTCATCTATGTTCCCTACTACCCTTGAAGTAACCTTTAAAGCATCTTGCAACAGCTTCTCTGTAATTCTACCAGCGGGCAACTTCCAGAGTCTTTACCTAAATATTTCTCACTGTTATTGTTCTCAGTCTCAGCAGCTCCTGATTGTCCTTAGTTTGTTTTCTGTCTTCTTTTTTTAACCAGGAATGTCAGAGAGAGAGCGGCAAGTCATGAAGAAGCTGAAGGAAGTGGTAGATAAACAGAGGGATGAAATCAGAGCAAAGGACCGGGAACTCGGACTTAAAAATGAGGATGTAGAGGCTGTAAGTGGCTCTTAGTCTTCCTATTTCTCTTCTTTCTCACCCATACCTCCATAGCCTGGTTTCAAATTTTAAGTTAATGTAGACTTCGTAAGCAATGCCAGATTATTAGTCCAGTAACTGAAGTGTCCGGCATAGCTGTGGAGTGTCCGAAATGATTAGGCAGTCTTCAGTGCAGACGCACACCCTCTGCTGCGTTCGGAAGGACCAGGCACACTTGGAACGTGACTGGAAACCAGTGTAACAAGAGAGGAAGACGGGGGAAGGACAGGTTGTTTTGTTTGTTTCCTTAAAGACCTGATACCTCTCCCCTTTCATGGGAACAGGACAGGTAACTTTCTCTGGCCTCTTGAATCTCTCTCTGCCTTGGCACTGCAAAGTTCCTCAGCACCCCCATGCCTCACCCCCCCAGAGATCCCTGCTGTGGGTGAGTGGGCTACTGTATATTTTACGTACACTCCCTGCAGAATGTGGCAGCAGGGACTCCGCACGGGCGCTCCCCCACCAGGGATGCAGTGTGGGTTACCTCTCTGCACAGGAAGGGGTGGGAGGAAGGGGCCTGAGCCCAGCCCAGGTCACTTACTTTTGCCAGCAGTGAACAGAAGGTCACTGAGAGATCCTGGGGACCACGGCACCAGAGATCCGGGTTTAGTCTTAGATGAATCACAGACTCCACTGTGACTTTGGGAATCACGTGATGTCTTGGTTCTTTCTGTGTCAGGAGGAATGACCTCCTTACCCATATTTTGCTTCCCATCCTCACGCTGCCCCATCTCCTTAGGCCATGGGACACTTCTGGTGCTAGTGAGGGCCAGACCTAGATGATCTCTGCTCTACCCAAGTGCCTCTGGCAGGTGTTGTGGCCTTTCAAATCGGTGCTGTCCGTACAATTCCCAGCAGGTCACATCCTGCCTTACGGAGAGCCTAAGAGCTCAAAGCAAAGTACTTATAATGTAAATTGAATACTGAGGATTCCTCCGTCTTGTCTTCCTCTCTTCTGCTCTGGGTTAAGATTTGATTCAGAATCCCATAAGCCGCCCTATCCTTGAACTTTGCTTTTTTGAAACACAGTGTCAGAAGTGGTGGATTTGCTTTTAGCTGGAGAATTCCCTGTGCTAGAGGAAAAATGCCTCTTTAGAAACCAATTAAATGTTGGTGACTGCAACTGTCGTAGATAATTAGACATTAAAAAGACTAATCTGGGAGTGAGGAGGGGACAGAATTTTCCAGATTAAATTCAACAGGAACCCACTACTTTTTCTTTAACGTGATGTTTGGGACTTGGCCACCACAGCTGACGGCTGAACGGATGCTGACCTATTGCATCAATGTTTTACAGCTTCAGCAGCAACAGAACAGGTTAATGAAAATCAACCATGACCTGCGGCACCGGATCACTGTTGTTGAGGCTCAGGGGAAGGCGCTCATTGAGCAGAAGGTGGAGTTAGAAGCATATCTGCAAACCAAGGAGCAGGAGATGGGCAACCTGCGAGCAGAGCTGGGGAAACTGAGAGAAAAACTGCAGGGGGAGGACAGCCAAAATGGGGAGGAAGTAAAGGTAAGAGGCACTTTAAATCCCTTTTTAAACAGCCTTTTAAAAAGCTTTGGACTTCATACCAAGTACCTCTTCTTTGGATAGATGTGATTGATACACCTCAGAGGCAATGGTGGGACTTGAGGACAGCATCTTGTTTTCGGGTGTGCCATACAGAGAGCAACGTCACTCACTGCACGGTGACAGGAAAGGCCCCGCTAGGGCGGATGATGACCCGGTGGAACAGACCCCTCCTCCCTCAAGGAGGGGACCGGTCACACAGAAGGCAGAGTGGCAGCACAGGTTAGCAGTGGGATGTCTGCATTAGAGAGCAGCTCCCCCCTTAGGCTTGGCTACCCATCGTACATCCTAGGGAGTGTAACCTTTGGGTCATGCGCTAGGCTGCAGGTACCAGAGCAAATCATTGCTTCAAAAGAGAGCGTTCTATTAAAAACATAGCGAGGCAATCCAAACTCTCTGGAGTATCAGCCGTTAGTTTGCAATGGAGGTAGATAGTGTTTTGGTAGTGCTGTATTAGTATGTTTGGGTTCATTTTGTTTGTACACATCAACCCCTTTCCCCAGAGGAAAACAAACTGATCCCTTAACAGTCTGGGTTTTCCAAAAGATAAACAGCTGACAAGTAGCTTAAGCCTTGCCAAGTATGCAAATATGCAAGCCCTAATGGGTCCCAAAGGTGCCATGTACTATGACGGTGGTGGCATGTGAACCATAGTAGAAAAGAAACTGTGTCAGAAGGGGTCCCAGGGGCAACACAGAACTCAGCACACTTGGTCCTCGCAGTGCTTATGGCACGTTTGAGCTGTCAGGACCACGCTGGTTTATTGCTACCAAATCAACGTATAAATATTTGAAGGCGCCTTTAGAGGAACCAACTTTGGCCCTATTTCTGCTTTTGCTGTGAAGTGTTACTAGCACAAATGTTCGTGAAAAGCAAATGTTACCACTTGCATACTCAAATACTTGCAGGAACAGGCAAAGTGACAATCTGCAAATTGAGTTGGTGCTGAGATCAGAGCAGTAGGAACGTAAGCTTGAGGGGAGCTTCATGAGAAAAAGATGCCTCTCTGATCTGTTGCATCCCTTCGTCCTCTTTATGGTTCCTATTGTTTTTCTTTGTGCACACTACTTCTGTCTTACTAAAGCAAATGTGCTGTGTTTCCCTTTCCTAATGCTGCTCTTAGAAGAGTACAAAATAGGATAAGGGGTATCATGATGTGACAGAACTCTAAAGGAGCACTAACATATAGATCTGTTTGGCTGGATGTGTTGGTAGGAGCTCCGGTACCAAGCGGCATCGTCCATGCCTGATAGACTGCGGCAGAGAGTGAAACATCCAATTCACTTGTAGTAGGCAGGAATGTACCTCAAGAAGCAGAGGCAAAGGCCGATGGGGTACCCTGGTCCCCCCTGGAATGGGACAGTCAGCGTTGTGTTAACATGTCACTGCTGAATTGGGCAAGCACTGTATTAATAATGAAAAGGATGATTTCATTGCTGTTAATTCAGCCAGGACACCCAGCTTTGTAAATGGGGCTGTGGAGCCTAGGCCTGGAGCCAGCAGGAGTGAAAGTGTCTTCAGTCTCCGGAGAGAAAGGATGCATTCTTTACCTCTGTCTAACTCATCAGTTCCATGGCAATGGCGCCTCTTCTAATTAGAGCCGTTCCCCGCTCTCTTTGCCAGGCTGATGGTTAGACAGGAATTGCAGTGGCAAGCAGAAAGCCAGAATAGCTGCATGCTCTGGAACGGACATTGCTTGTAGGCTTCAGTCAAGTACACTTGCATTGGCTACAGGCTGCTCAGTCTTTGCTGGTTTGAGCAAAATCTAGCAAAAATAGCCTGTTTGGGCAAAGGTGTGGGCCAAATACACAACCAAAAGAAGAGGCATCAGCTCAGACCCTAATCTAAAGGGGTGAAGAAGAGGAAAAGCGTTTGGGTCATTTCCTTTGAGCCCCTTGTTAGGTTGCATCTATCTTTATTTATTGTAGGCTGTGTAAAGAAATGCATTTGGATGAATGGGGTGAATCAAACAAATGGACAAGCGTGCGTTGCTCTGCTGCTTTGTCGTTGCTGGACAGGGACTGCAATCCCTGCTGTAGAAATTGATACTGCACCAACCTTAGCCCAGCCAAGTTTAACCTGAAATCATACATCAATAGATAGCAAAACTGTTTCACAAACACATAAGCTCAAAAGAGGGTAGGATCAGGCTCACAAAAAATGGACTCTGTTTAAGAATTTTGGTACTTAGCTCCTCAAATTTCCACCTTGTATCCCAGCAAGGCGTCACTGCAACACAGGAGCTCTGAGACTCTGATCTCTGCATCCTACCAGGAGGATGGGCGGCTGACCTGGCTGCTGGCATCTCTGATTTCATGTGCTGGCATCTAGTCGGTCCCTGCAAAAAGCATCACATTTCTAATGTACTTTGCTGCATTTCAAATGTACTTTGCCAGAACAGAGTGCCCTGCATTTATTTGTATTGTTAGAAATCCTGCAGACCTCTAAAGGCTTGTAGCTGCTTTTCAGCATCTTGATTCTGAGTACCCTTCCCAGAAGCTTGTGATTTCTCATTAACTGGTCCTCAGCTCTGTGCAGCCGCTGAGTGGAACAACAGCAGAGGACCTGAACGATGGTCTTCTCTCTGCTGTGTTTATACAGACCACATTTTCACAAGCGGTTAGGGCCAAATAGTTCTGTGCAAGTGCTAGAGTCTACCTGGGTGAGAGGAAGCAGCCCCACAGGCCTGGAATCCAGCCATGTGCCTGGAGTGCAAGTTCTGGCTTGTTGGGAGCCACAGAAACTGGGGGTGGGAGATAAAATTCCTCCAAGCTTCCAATGAACTCTTCTCAGATGAAAAGAGACAAGGTAAACATGTATAATGCCTCATCTAGCATTCATCTGCAATCTTCTTCTGCTTTGTAGCTAGATCCTGGTGCTAACACCAATCCTGCTTTTTTAATAAAGGCATTAAGGGGATATAAACTTAAATCTCCACTTAATATGTTTACATCCAAGGGACTCTTCTCTTTCTGGGAGGAGCTGGAAGGAACTGTCCTGATCTTTGCTATCCAGTTTTGTCAGTGTTTATATCAAAGGCTGATGTTTGATTTACCCCATTTGTTAAAAGTATGAATTCCTCAAACTGACCTGTTTATCAAAAATTGGACTATACATTTGCAGTGGACTTTCTGGCAGCCTGGATTCCACAAGAATTTCTCCATAAGAAAACTTATCACCTGTAAGGTGGCTCAGGTTGGACCCTGTGTTCAGGCCTGCTAGAAACAATTGGTGTTTGCGTTTTTTCCCAAACATGTAACTCTGTGAAAGATTCCTGTGAGCACAGGGCTTTGATTGTAGTCACCACACTTAGGTCTTCCTCGTTTGGAAGCTTCCCCCGAACACCAGGTGAAGAGAGGTGAAACAGAGCTCAGATCATCTTTCAGAGGCCTGCCACAGTCTCACCAGTCCTCTGTGTGTCATCGGTCAGCCTGTGCACAGGAAAGAACAAAGCGATCAGATCACTGAGCTGTTCTTGCTGACAGTCTTTAACATGAAAAACAAATCCCTTCGACATTTTTTCCTCTTAAAATTGCTGTGTTTCTCTTAAAAGAGGATTTAATAGTGCTGAAATGAAGAGGTTGGGAACTAGACTGATAAATGCTTCAAACTCCTCAGACATGCATTCGCATGGTGATTTTAAAGCCCACGTTTCACTTTAGGCAGAACCAAACAATGATGACTGCCTCTCAGAGTCAGAAAAGATGGCAATGGACTTAAAAGATCCGAATCGTCCAAGATTCACCTTGCAGGAGCTCCGGGATGTCCTTCATGAGAGGAATGAATTGAAATCAAAAGTGTTTTTACTTCAAGAGGAGCTTTTATATTACAAAAGGTAGGTTAGATCTCCTCTCCTGTTGCATGCTATACACAGAGGAGCCATAGGGTAGGTCTAGACACAATAAATGTGCTCTTACATAGTGTCCAACAGGCTTATATTTCTGCAAAGGCTTGAAGTAGAGATCGCAAGCATACGGCTTTAGTTCGAATCTGGTTCCTCAAAATTGGGAAAAACTATGTCCTTCCCTAACTCCCAGGTTCCCCCTGAATCTTAGAAAGATTACAAACATTTAGTACTTTTGAACTTCAAAGGTCAGGATAAGAGTGGATCTAAAATTAAAATTCCAAAACTTTTATTGAATGCATTCCTCTTCACCGTCTCCTTGTCACAATGGGAAGGAAATATTGAAAGGAGACCCAGTTCTAGGTGCTGTTCCTTGGTTGACAGAAAAATCTCCTGTTGATTTCAGTGAGCTTTGAACAGATCTTTTTGCATTTCTTCATCAACAGTACTACCTCAGATTGAATTTTAGAACTTAAGGTGCTTCCATGGCTTGGGAGGAGAACATTAATTATCTTTTCTTTCTTTCAAGTGAGGAAACAGAAGAAGAAACTAGATCCCCTCAACCTACACCCATAATTCAGTCAAAACCCTCAACTCAGCCTGAATCTGGAATCAAACGACTGTAAGTAGCATATTTTCTAAGGATACTGGATATAGTCTGCAAATACTAAATGTTTCTTATGGGTAGGCCAATTTTAAAGAATTTAAAAATTAAGATAACCACATCCCTAAAGTATATGGGGGAGACATTGAAGGAGCACTTGACAGGTATCATGAGAGAGCAGTTGGCTTTGGCCAAAACTTCTGCCTAGATCTGGGACAACTTTCAGTCTCAGATTATTTCCTGCGGTACCTTTTGCTCCCTACGTGCAGACAGCAGCAGGGGGGCCCACAGTACTCCCGGTGTTTGTGGGCCAGACTGGTGGGCCCAAGGAGCCCACGGCAGTTCTAATGTTTCCTTCTTAAGTACGCTGTTCAGGCTAACCAAAAGAGCATGGGTTGCAATGTTTTATTACAGCCGGTATGAGCTGATGAGCTCTTAAACACAGACACCTGATCTTCCTAAAGAATTTTCTTGTCTGGGCCACACAGTCGCACTCCAAAGGGAGGTGTTGCTAATTGGGGTCTTATCCAGAGCACCGCACAGCCTGTCCTGTGTGCCCAAAACTGAAGTCAGTGCCGGATCTCAGTGTGCAAGGATTGAAGGAACAATGCTCCTGTTCAAGTGCAAGTCCCAGTTCCTTAACACACAGCTCCTAAGGTGGTGGAGTGTCAGAAACCGTGGGCCCCCAGGTCATGCTCAGAAGACGTGTAAAGAGTGTTGTTCACAAGTAAAACCAGCTGCAGACCTGTAGCAGTTGGGCGTGGAGAGCAAGGTTTCCCCATGACCTCACTGTGCCCCTTTCCCTGTTGATCTAAGCCTTTAGACCCCAATTTGCGCTGTGTACAGCACAAAAACCTTTTGTTTGCTGAAGAAATTTCCTGCTGCAGAGGATGCCAGCTTTCTTGGCTATAAAGAACCCCACGTTCCTCTGCTGAAGTTTTTAATGTTGCTGTCTGAAGCCTAAGCTTACTGTCAGAGGTGTGCATTTATTAGTGTAGCACTTAATTATAAAATCACGGTGTTAGCCAATCCATTTGCCTGTTCATATTCCCTCCTTGTACGTTTATTTATTCCAAATTAAGTCTTGTAACTTTATAGCAAGCCTTTGGATTTTTGTGATACTGGAAGCTTAACTTTTTTAACTGCACAAATGATTTTGGAACAGTCATTTGTTTCCACATAAAAAGCTCTTCCATCCTGTCCCCATGTCTGTAACCTTCAGTCCTTGTTCAATAATAGCAGCAGCCCTGTGAGAGTAAGTTCCGTTGGAAGATGTGGACTGATCCAAAACATCATAAAGTCAGGAGGGCACTTTTGATTATTTTCAGTAGACTCCAGCTTCTGTCTGTGCTGCTTTGTTGGCTGAGAGAACCCTTCCTCTCACATGACTAGAAAATACACTCTGAGTTTGGACTTAAGTTTTCATTCTGCAACTATGATGATAATAATAATACTTTGTCTCACAAGATCTCCACTGTAAAACTTCTCTTTTTCTATTAAATTTATTTTAGTACTTTTTAAAGCTTATCCCACTGTGGGGGATGGCTGGTTTCAGCTTACGCAGTTTGCGTTGATTGCAGTTTCCATGTTTATGAAGCAAAGGCAGCATAAAAATGTAAATAGATGTTGTAAGACAGAGCACATGCTGACGAGGTATTAGCTTTGACTCTGCCTTCTGCATCCATGCGTAAGCAACGCAGGGAGCCATGGCAGGAGGCACATAAGTGTTTTCAACCAGTTTTCTCAGTGCTTTCTTCCTCTCAGTTAATTTATTAGTGAAAACCTGTTGAGCATCAGACCATTCAATCAATGCACATTTTCAGATACCTGTCTAATTTTCTGTTTCTCAGATTCTGTGTTAAATTCATATCGCTAAAACGGCACACAATAAAACATAAAATCATGTTGGTTTGGCCCCTTTCAGAAAAGGCAAGAGTCCTCTTCTGCCAGACAGTGGAAGCACATATTGAACCTGCTGTTAAGATGAAATTACTTCCTTTAGCTGTCATGCTCTGTCCCCAGGTTTCTTTCTGCTTTCTCTTAATTTAGCCATCATATTAAATACGGGAAGATAAAACCGTCTACTTAAGTACCCTGAAGGATGGTAATAGTTTTCAGGTTTGTCTTATTCTTGCAGCCTGTCTGGATGGGATTTGTCTAGCGTGGGTTTATTTTCTTTCTCCCCTCCTCTGTGTGTGTGTTGTCGACAGTGTACCTGTAGATGGGCTTTAAAAAGACAGGAAATTTCACTGCTGGGAAAAACTAAGAACCCAAGCGTAGCATCTGTTCTGTCCTGTTCAAACACCCCTCCTGCCCCACCTGCAGTCCCTGCCCGCTGCGAGCTGCCTCCAGAGCTCCCTTCTCCCTCTCCCAGGCAGGATGCTGTCAGCACCTCGCTGTATGGCTACCCGGGTAACACGCTGGCATGTAAACTCCCCATACCTCATGATGTGATGAAAACCTGTAATGCTGGCATCTGCGTGCAGAGTGAAAATGAAAGTAGGGTTGTTTTTCCCTCCGTTTCAGACTTTTCCTCCTGGTTTAACAAAAAGCTGAAACACAAAATAGGAGACGCTGTTTCTGTCCTCTTAAGAGAAGTTTTATGCTTGCCTGTGTAATGTGCCCTTTTTTCCTTGACCACGCAGTATCTCAGGGAATGAGACATATGTATATGTAGCCTGTGTTATCTAAGACGTGCTCAGGTGATTCTGTGCTGCATCCCCGTAAAGAAAGGAAAACAGAAGTCACAGAATCACGGAATGGTTGGGGTTGGAAGGGGCCTCTGGAGATCATCCAGTCCAACCCCCCTGCTAAAGCGGGTTCACCTCGAGCAGGTTGTACAGGATCGCATCCAGGTGGGTTTTGAATATCTCCAGAGAAGGAGACTCTACAGCCTCCCTGGGCAGCCTGTTCCAGTGCGCTGTCACCCTCCAAGTAAAGCAGTTCTTCCTCATTTTCAGGTGGAACTTCCTTTGTTTCAGTCTGCGCCCGCTGCTCCTTATGCTCTCGCTGGGCGCCACTGAAAGGAGCCTGGCCCCGTCCTCCTGACACCCGCCCTTGAGATATCTGTAAGCGTTGATAAGATCCCCCTCAGCCTCCTCTTCTCCAGGCTAAACAGACCCAGCTCTCAGCCTCTCCTCCTAAGAGAGATGCCCCAGTCCCCTAACCGTCTTCGTAGCCCTCCGCTGGACTCTCCCCAGTAGTTCCTTGTCTGTCTTGAACTGGGGAGCCCAGACCGGGACACAGCGCTCCAGTGGGGCCCCACCAGGGCAGAGTAGAGGGGGAGGAGAACCTCCCTTGACCTGCTGGCCACGCTCTTCGCTCTTCCTACTGCGCCCCAGGATACCATTGGCCTTCTTGGCCGCAAGGGCACGTTGCTGGCTCATGGCTAGCTTGCTGTCCACCAGGACTCCCAGGTCCTTCTCTGCAGAGCTGCTTTCCAGCAGGTCAGCCCCTACCCCGTACTGGTGCGTGGGGTTATTCCTCCCGAGGTGCAGGACCCTACGCTTGCCTTTGTTGAACTCCATTAGGTTCCTCTCCGCCCAGCTCTCCGGCCTGTCCGGGTCTCGCTGAGCGGCAGCACAGCCTTCTGGCGGCTCAGCCACTCCTCCCAGTTTTGTACCATCAGCAAACTTGCTGAGTGTACACTCTGTCCCTTCATCCAGGTCAGCATTTTTTCACTCCCAGGGTTTGCACGTTTGGGGCAAACTCTGAGTTCTGATCTCAGACGGATTGATTTCTACATTTGTCTCTACCACATCACATGTCAGAGTTTTGATGAAATAATGTAACCAGGAGGCTTTACTGAGGAGGAAAAGTACAAGGAGTAAAAATGCTCCCTCTGTTTTGAGCAGAAAACGCCCTTTTGTTTTCTCTTTAAGGATACGTGCTTGTTTGTCAGTGATGTAATGCCTGAAACAGCCATAAGTTCTCTTCCTATTCTTGCAGTCTACAAAAGCTGATGTGTCTGTCTCATTTCTGTAGCTCACAGACCATGCCACAATGTGTAAGAATAGAAGTCCTAGCTACTGCTAACGATACGACAATGTTTGCTTGTTTGTTTTCATTTTTAATCTAAGAATAGCAGTTAGAGTGACTGTGTTGGGGAGAGCTGCATTTGGTCACAAGTGAAATGTCTCTCGTGATTTCAACTTAATCTTTAATTGACATTAGTCCACAGTTCAAAAAAATATTTGGCACAAGGGAGAACCTCTGAGGAGAATCCTTAGGAAAACAGAGGGTGTTCCAGGTACGGATGAAGGTGTGTCGGCAGGTTTGTGCGGGGCTGGCTGGGCACAGAGCACCTAGCCAGCGTGCTCTCTCAACCTCTCAGCTGCATGAATTGTGTAACATGTAGTGAAAGTGCTGAACTCTTACAAAGAAACAGTCTTGCTGCTAGCCAGCTAGAAAGTGTTTCTGCTAGAGCAGTTGCAAGGTTTCCCGTAAGTATTTAGCTGCCTGCAGTTGGCATCTTTCTGCATGTGAAGCAACGCAGGTTCTTTTGGAACAGATATACAGGCCCTTTAACCAAGTAGCTTGCATAGGAGGTTATTTCAAGATTTCACCCGCAATACTGGTTTTTAACTTGAAACTATCAACTGTAACGTTTGTAAAATCTTTAACTGTAATGCTGGTCCTGTCTAACCCTGTCTTCCGTACAAATATCCAGTAGTCACAGCAGAGCCCTGTTTTGTATCTCTTAACATACACCTTCATCCTTCATTTCATTATGTATGTGCCTGTTTGTTTCTTGGGAAGAAAAACATGCACTCTGCTCTGCATTGCTAGAGGTGGTAATACCTTGATGAACTCCAACCCAGATTGCGGGCTGCCTCACAACAGAAAAGTGGTATCTTTTAGAAATTCAAAAGCAATTTAAACTGTTTCAATGACTGCTTTTTCTAAATAAGTTTTTCACTGAGGAGAGCTGTCTTGGGTGATGCAGATCCACCTCTCCCTGTAACATATCCTGTGTGGTAATTCAAAGTAACCCCGTGTATCATGTTTGCCTCTCTTCTTTTTAATGGAATGCTTTTTTTCTTTCCCTTGCTCCAGTCTTATCTCTTCTGTGTCTGTACTTTCCTGACCAGGATCTTTACAGCCATAATGCCCATGGTAGCAGCTGGATTGATTCCAGACGATCCCACATTGCAGCCAATAAGAAGACTTGTGTCCCTTGTAGGATTTTTTTTTTTTTTAAATGTTTGGTACCGTGGTTTCCTTTTGCATGACCCTGTGTTAACGTGCACTGCTGGTTGCATTCTCATCGGCTGCTGTGGGATCACAGAAGAACAAAGTGCCAATCAGAATGACCAGTCAGTACACAACTCATCGTAGTCCTCCATGCTCATCCTCAAGTATTGACATTTTATCACCTTTTGCCTTAATGTTACCATGCTAAACCAATCATTACTCCTTAGAAAATGGTTGCAATATGCAATTTTAACCAGCATCTGTTAGTTTTGCTTACTAAGCGTGCCTATTCACAATTCACACCAATGCTTTTCGAGAAACCCATGTCATTCTAATGACTTGTTACAAATCAGTTAGATGGATTTACAGAATGTAATGGCTGGTATCTACATTCATTTCCAGAGTTAATTATAGGCTGTTGCTTCCATGTCTTTCCATCTATGCACTGTATATTTTGTCTCTAATTATGTATTTTGGAATAGAGTATACACTCTCAATAATCAATTCTATCATCCTATTCGTGGCTGTCCCTGGAAGACGTACCGAAAATTGTTAATGCAAACTCTCTTCTCATTAGAACTGCTGCTTTAGCGATCTGTATATTCATAGCAGCAAAGCAGTATTTAAATTCCCTTCCTCTCCGCACAGACATGCTTTTTCAAACATCCTCCGCGAGAGTTTTCTAGGCATAATAACAATTTCCGTTGTTTCAGAAGGAATTAAAAAAGCCTAACCCTTCTGCTTCGTGTAGAGATTTTACAAACATATTTTTCTCTTACGTAATTCTGTGATAAAGTGAAAAATTACTGAACTTTTGACGTTTGAGACTTACTGCGTAAATACAGCAGTCCTTTGTGTGGACTTCACGATACTAAGCCTGACCGTGCAGGACCAAACATGCTCAGCAGAAAGCCTCAGTGGCTAGACACTTCTTTTATCATCTGGAATTGGACCTGGCCCTGAAAAGACATAGCATTATGTGTGTGAATTTATGAGCTCCTGTGACGAAGGTGGTAGAAAAGTATGAGGCTAATTAAGTGCAAAAGACTTATTTCACTATTAAGGCGGCACATTTGAAGCCAGGAAATGCAAAAGTTCAGGTCCTGCTAGCAACGTGAGTTATCTGGCTTTGCACTCGTGTAGCTTTTTATATCACTTTCTAGTCAAGAAATAATTATTCTTAATATTCTTGATATTCTTAATAATTACGATCATACTTACCTGCACGTATGATAGGATATTTTTTCCGGAAAGCTGCCTTAAACCTCATCTGCCACTCAAATACAGCCTCCTATGTGACTAGAGACATGGAAGGCAGAACTCCCTGCTCTGCACAAGGCGGCTGGGACGGTTGGGATCATGGTACTGAGGGGAGGCTCACGGGAGTGGGGGTGGAGGAAGAACGCCGAGGGGCGCGGACACAGGGCCAGGTCTATGCCCTGACAGGTATTCCATCACCTGTCAAAGCTGAGTTTGTACTTGCGGAGTCTCTTGCTGTAGCAGCATTTAGCAATTCCCGACCTGGATCAGAACTGCGTCATGCCCAGTGCCGTGCAAGGAAAACAGTATTTACCTCCTGACGTGCACCACTAAAACCAAAAGGGTACGCAGCCAATTCAAACCTTTGGTAGCTGGAACCACAACTTTTGCATTTCTCAGCAGACCTAAACACCGCACTAACACCTCTTGTGCTGAACTCATGACAAACAGTGAATTTGCCTAATCAAATAACTTCATCCTGTACCAATAAAATGATACTAAGGATTTTTCCAACTGGATTTTTTTAGCTCTGTTGTCAGCTGGCAACTTGTTGTTGTATTAAATGGCTGTTGGTTCATGTACGTCATTATCTTAGAGCACCCAAGCTGTGTGACAGGAAATGACGTGCACGCTTGTGTGCATTTCTTTAGAGCCTTCATCCTGCAAACTCTCGTGCACATACGTGCATTTATTCATTTATTTTTGCAGGAATCGAGTCTATCTATCAAAGTCTGTACACTGGGAAAAAATGTGGAGGCTTATTTTCTTATCTTATGAATTTCCCTGCTGACACCCTTAAAAACATTCTCTATTTCTGCTTCATGGTAAATTATACAGATTTAATGCCAAAGATACCACTTTACTTATGCCAAGAAACTAACCCGTATTGTGTCGCTTCTTTATCTCAGGGCTGGGGAGGGGGGAATATACATCTAAAACGATACCTGCACCTTGTAGAGTCAACAGCATTTAGAGCTTATTTGAAGCTTCCATAGCCAAACCGCTTGAGATTGCAATGACTTCATCTCTAATAACATTTTGACATGCACTCCCATCAGGCTTCACTGCCTTGATTTCTGCAGATGCAAACAGATTTTTTTGCTCTGTGCTTTGTTGTGCTGTGTATCGTGTCGGGTGTTTGAAGTGTTCTCAAGATGGTAAACAGTCTTCTTTCTTTTCCCTCCCCTCCCTTACTCCTCCCTTCCCGGAAGGTTTAGTTTCTTCTCTCGTGATAAGAAACGTATGCAGGCCTCACAGAAAAATGTCCACTTCCAGGATACTTTTGGAGAATGGTCAAATTCAAATAAAGATGACTCCTACACCGAACAAGGACAAGAAGCCCTGCAGCACCTGTGACTAAAACCTTGAGGTGTTCAGTTTACCGCAGTAGATCTCGACAGTCTAGTAACAAGAAGCTTCTGTAAACAAATCCGGCAGCTCATCACTTTTATTTGCCTTGCACACCTCGGTGGTTGTGTTTCCGATGCACTCTTCCAAAGGGATCCCTCGCTGTTCACTTGGTGGCTGTTTGCTGAAAACGGAATCCAAGTTTTGCAGTAACAGTCGCTGATACCCCGGGACATCGAAGCTTCTAGATGACTTGTTCTGTGCCGAATAACAAGTCTATGGTCTTGTTCATGCATTAACTACAGTAACACAAGCTTCTTTAAACCAAAAAAAAGGACCTCTGCCATTATTAGCAGTTTGTTTGCAGTGTATGATATTAGTGGCAAAGACTCTTTTACCCTGTTTGTTAACACTATCGGTTGTTTGCTTTTCATTTCTGTAAGAATTTTTTCAAGAGGGATGCGGCAGCTGGCCACTCTCCATGGCAGGTCTCAGCGCTGCTGTGTCCTGTCAAGTTCAGCTGGCATCTGCATTTTGCAGAGAAACCACTTGGAAATTCACCTGCTACAAATTGATAAACTGGAGTAGCCTTCAGAGGGATAGTGAGTGTACATTTCCCTTGCTGCTTATAGTGCCTAAAGCATGAAGAAAACGATGTATGAGGTGAGCGTGCCTTGCATTTTGCCATGAGTTCTGCAGTATTAATGGAAAACAAATTGCTTATAAGGAGGAATTCTAACACTTGAATTTTTTCCTTCTTACTAGGGACTTGCCCCTAGAGTAGCAGGCAGCTGCTGTAAAGGAATTAGGTCTCTTTCCCACAGACAGGTTTTTAATTAAGTCACACTCCACTTTTCCGTCTAGATAAGACTGCCTAACTTCAGAGCGAAAGACATCCTCAGCTAGCTGACATGGACTATTTTAACTGACTTAGAGATGACCCTAATTCAAAACGTTTTCTCTGACTGGTCTAAACACTACTTGGGCAGAGCGGATGAATTCTGTATGCGCAGGCCGCTCCGCTGGTGTTGGTTGGTGTTTGGGTGTCCTGCAGCGACAGGAGCTGCACTTGCCAGCAAACGCCCCGCGCGGCTGAGCTGCCAGGAGGTGGGATTTAGATCTGCTTGCAGTTGCGCTTGTGAGACCTCAGTTGTACTTAAAAAACCCATGACACTAAAGCCCCGCACAGCGTAACTGTGGCGCGCAGCCCGGTGTCAGCGCACGCCCTGCCGCTGCACCACACGCTCCGAGAGGGCACCTAACCAGGCGGGAGAGGGCGAGCGCATCCGCAGCTCCTTGCGAGGAGGCGCTGAGGTCCTTCTGTCAACTCACTGTACGCTCGGAGAGGGTGCCGCTGGTGAGGAGTATCCAGCTACGACAAGGCCCTAGGCAACGTCTGCACACGTAGCGCAGGGGGCAGCAAGCTGCTGTTGGCACCTCGCGCCCAGCAACGACATTGCTCGGTGAGGAGCGGCGCTAGGGAACAGCGCTCAGGCGGGAGCAAAGCTCCAACTACTCCAGGTGCTGAGTGCAGGAGGAAGACTCGAAGGACTCCTAGAGAAGAGTGAGCCAGAGGGTTTAGCGCAGGCCAGTTGTTTTTAATGCAGGGTGATCCAAGACTCTGGATTCTTTAGTGTGTACGAGCAGCAAACGGATCTTAAACTGTGCCAGGAAGCGATTCTTCGCAATGGTGGGCTGAATGCCGCTCTGCTCCTGGCTGTGCTTCGCTCTGAACGCACACCTTCCCCACGTTCTCGGTAGAGAAAGTGTTTACTGCGCCTCCCTGGTGTCATTGCGGTTCAGAGCAGGGGGGATACGTGGCCTTATATGAAAGACATCTGCATTTGAAATCGTGACGGTGGCATCTGATGCTAGTATTCGGCAGATACGCTTTGGCCTGGTTACGTTTTGGTAACATATCTTAAGTTGTATGCTTACAGAAAGCTGTATGCATAAAAGAGCAGCGCTTCCCCCTTTGTGTGACAAACAATTCTTAAATGGGGGGGAGCGTCTTAATTTAATGACACTTAAGTTGCTAATATCTCGATTTCACTTCCATATTAGAAAAAAAAAAATGTACACTACAGTTATATCAGGCAGTTAAAGTCAATTGTGAACGATGCCCGTCGAGTCTCTCCCTAGCATAGTTTACAGTCGTTCGGCACATTTGGAAGAGATGCAGTGATCAGAAACAATGCAGGAACGCAGCGGATGCACAGCCTGAATAAGCGCATCACTTGGGAAATCAGCTGAGAGCAACAAACTGGGATAATAGAAATACACAGACTGAACGGTTTTTCCCCGGCACCTCAGCTGGTGTACCACAAAGGAAAGCTCCCGGCCCCGTGCACGTACAGCTCGTCCCCTACGCCAGAGCCCAGAGCGCTTGTCGTCGGGTCAAATCCACAGCTGATTTCAAACAACGGCACTAAGCAGTACGGCCTTCCCCCGCTCATCTCTGTAGCCCGTTACCTCAAAAATCGAGTTAGTTACTCCTGACCTGCTAGCGTTAACCACTTCGCTCCTCATTCTCATGCTAGAAATGCTGAGTTTAGACACTCCGAGTGCCGTCGGAAAGGCTGGCGCGTGGGGCAGAGCATGTAACGATTTGAAGATCTGTCACATGTTGTTTCTCAATATTTAAGTAAAATCTGCTTTTAGAAAAGGGGCCAGGATGTTGTCAGGTAAGGGGCGTAACAATCCTGTCTGCAAAGTGCAGGATCACTGAAGTTTTTTTGGGTTGTGGTTTTGTTTTTTTTTTTTGGTTGAGCAGTAAATCATTTTAACAGTTTAATAAATATTTCTGAAAAACAAGTATTTCTGCAAGATTTGTGTCCTTTTTTTTGTGGAATGTTAGTAGCATCCTTTCTTGGGGATGCAGCATAGGAGCCTGTCGTCTTTCCCCTGAAAAAGGCTCATAGGACTCTTTGTGGAAATAAAGCCTCAAACTGGGCAAGGTTTAGGATAGGGCCGTTCATAGGCTGATTAAAAAAATGCAGTTTAAAATACATTAGCAAATATTTAGGAATTGCTTATGATGACAAAGAACACAACAGAGCCTTATCTAGAAAGCACTGTAAGCTGCTCAGTGGAAGATGCGTGTCTGTATGCACGTCTGGGCTTGGAAAGAGGAGCAGCTTTGCGCTGTTTTCCCCAGTTCAGCTACAGCCAGCAGCGAGCCCAGCTTCCAGAGCAAGATTTAAAGCCTGCGCAGGCAGGACTTCACGTGCAGAGAGGAGGAGAGGACAGAGCGGGTGCAACCACGTTTAACCGTGACACCGTCCTGCAGTGGCTGTCCGTGGATTGATCAGGAACATCAGGTGTCTTCTGACCTGCTTATGGCTCTGTAGTGCACGTTCCTCCAGTAAAAGGGAATGACATCCTCCCAGGATGTAAAAGAAAGATTTATTACATGCTTCGCTCCCATCTCACAGAACGAGTTAAGGACACAGTGTTACTAAAGATCTCACCTGTCCCAGTGTCTTCAAGAAAATAAAGTCATCTCCCATCGGCCTCTGGTTTGGGCCACGTTTTTCAGCTTAGTTTGTTGCTATTTCATGACTATTTCTCCAACAAGCGCCTACTTCATAAAGGGCACCTGTCTCACTAAATGAGCGTGGACAACTGGCACATAAATAATTAAATACGGAGCTCTCTCATGAACCCAAATCCAGGCGGCCAGATGGGTATCAAACCGGGCGTGTGCCCAGTTTCAGCGGGATACCCGTACATGCACATTCCTTACAGCATTCACTTCCAAAACATTAATACAAACATTTATTTTCTCTGAAGAACGCTTCAACGTGTATCTTAACTGCATTAGCAGCCGAACTACAGAGAGCTTCTAGCAGGCGAGAGTCGCAGGCACAAGGCAGGAACAGCCCAGCTCCTTGCTCCGGGAATGCTGCTCGCAGCCCCAGGCGGAAGGCAACATCTGCAAGCAAAACGTGGGTGTCAGAGCAGACACCAAACCCCGACGACAACGCACGGTCACCTATCGATGCTTATCATCGTCCCTTTGTTTCTTGGTGTCTCTTCCCCTGCTCCGGTCTCTGTCCCTGTCCTTCCTGTCTCTGTCCTTCCTCTCCCTCCCTCTGCTCCTCTCCTCTTTGGAGTCCCTCTCTCTCTCACTTTCACCCCAAGCCCATGACCGCTCCCTTTCTGGCCATCGCTTGTCTCTGCTCCTTTCATGGTCTCGGTCCCTTGTTCTCCAGTCCCTTGTTCCTTCACGAGACCAGTTTCTTTTCTCTGCTGATCCTTCTCCGTAGAAATCATTTTTCATGTTTGGCAAATTGATGGGCTTTCGGAAAGGTCTGTCCCGTCCTCCAAACCGTAGCTGCCCGGATTCTTTTTTGCCTCCAAAACCACCCCCAAGCCTCCGAGGAATCCATCCTTTGAGAGTTCTTTCCAGTTCAAAGTCTACAAAGATCTCATGCTGATCAATAACCAGCCGGTTGGCATCTCTGTGGGCCTTCAGGAGAGCACGCTCCTCTTTGTATTCAATAAACGCGTAACCCTTGGAAAATCCTGTCACCAGGTCTCGAACCAGACGGATCTTTCTGATGTCTCCATACCGGGAAAAGACCTCCTTTAACTTCTCTTCTGTTGTCTGAAGATTGAGCCTTGCTACGAACAGGGTGAGGTGAGGATCTCCTGTAACTCCCTTGTTGGGTACGTAGCGTGCCAACATAGCCCTCCAAATGGCACGGTCGTGGGGCTCTTCATCTGTGCCATCGATGCTCCCGGCTTTGAGGGGGTCATACTCCTTCGCTATGGGCGCCCAGTCGTTCATTGTCTAGTGAGAAAAAAGCATGCATCACGCAGATACACAGGTATTTTAGGAAGAAGAGCAGGCAGTGCAGGAAGCACTTTCAGCACTGCTGTACAGTATTTTTCATCCAAAAAAATCTGGCAGACTTAAATAAACCGGCAATATGGCTGCGGTTTGAGTTCACCTCCCCGGGCAGAGCCCTGTCGGGCGGCCTGGATCCGCCCCCGGCTGCGGAGAGTCCGGCGGCCCCTTCCCTCTGCCCCGCCTGAGGCGCCCCACCGCCCTGCCCCGTTCCCGCCCGCCCGA